CATTATAATGTTCGTTATTGCCTGCTACCCACTCTCTTCACTGAACCTGATAAATTCCTAGAATCTGTATTCCCTTTTGCTCAGTTTCTGTAAATGCTAAATAGAATTTTGCCATGTATAATGTTTTCCAGAGAAAACATCATTGCCTTTTGTTATATTATTTTGAAAGAATTTTTGGCCTGTTGGGATTTAGAACTGCTTTTCCCTGTTCCCCATCAAACAGCCTACAATTCAGTTCTCCTTTGTATAATCCTGTTTCAAATATGAACAATATGAATCCTTCAGTTTATGCTAGCAAGGAAATTTGGGTGGTTATATTTCATTATTGCCTTAAAGAAGAAGGGCAGGGTGGCTGACAGGCTATCTTTCTACAGCTTTTCTATGCTGAAATCTAGTGAAGAAACTGTAGCCATCTTGATAACATATTCAAACTTCCCAGCACTTTTTGCTAGCTTACAGTATCAGCAAGTTGTGGCTGGGCATTTTTCACTTGCAGTAGATAGCAACAGCCGGCCCACCTCATCCTCAAAGGGTACAGGTCAATAAGGTCCTGCTGTCTCTTTCTCTGGCTGCATTCCTGATGTATTTGCCACTGTCTTGATGCCCTCAGATCACTGTAGTGATACCTGTATCACCTGTGGGATTTCTAGTAAAAGCTTTAGTGAGCTTTTCAACACAGAAAAGGGGTGTTCAGCTCAAGGATAGCAAAGCCTGGAAGGAGGATGTCTGTAATAGCATTGACCAGGTAAGCCTGTAGGTCAGGAAGAGGCAGGAGCCTTCATGGGAGCTGTGGGAGGTTAGGGTGGTTGTTCTACATCTGGCCTCTGCCATAGCAACCCCTCCTTTGCCAGGGAGCCAAACCATGTCTGCAGGGTTGATGGTCAGCAGAGCTTCTCCAGCCCCGCTCTTCATGTACAGCAGGCAGGGTTGGAGCTTGTGTCTCTTTCAGGTTCCCATGCTGCACCTGGATATTGTAGTGTAGGAATCTTTGTAGGTGTGGTGTCATGTGGGGTCCAAACAGCATGCACTGGTACTTCTAGTCAAGAACATAGATCAGTTTTGTTCTTTGGAACTTTCCTCTTTATCCTTACATATGTTTTCCTTCTATGTTTTGTCAAGTCAGGTAAGAAGAAAATGTCCGCTTTGCAATATGTTTTGGCAAACTGGCCCTTTTTTCCCAGAAACAATTGTGCCAATATCCAACTACTCCACATACTTGTATGCATTAGCACATGGCTAATGCATACAAAGTTATTCATGCTGATGTCCCCTCCTTGCTGAAAGTGTTCTGTTCACATCAGACGCTGCAACCCTGACCGTACATTTGTGGATTAGCAGGCTTGATTAAACATGCATAGAGAACTGGAGATCGCAGCACAAGGGCATGGACTGTCTGAGCCTGTAAAATCTCCCCATGGGTAAGGTAGATGGATTAGTATCATCACATTTAATCATATAATTTTACTTCTCAACCCTCTTGATTGCCCTCACTTTGGGAATCCCCAGAGATCCACAGCTGTGAGGCTGTGGGATGCCTGAATTCACACAAGCAAAGATGCACACTACCTGTAGTAGTTGTTCTTTCCACCAAGGGAGAACTAAAGGGTAACCCAGCTATTTCTTTTGGGGTGTCTGCTTTCAAAATGGTCAAAGGCAGTGGGACTTGGAGTGCCTGATGCCCTGCTGTTTTCCTGTATCTGACATTGTAATTTCTTCTCCAGAGTAAGCTGGCTAAATTAACTTGATTTTAAAGAAGTGAAGCACTGAGACTGTGCCTGACATTTTCAGGATACCAGGACGCTGTGTTCCTAGATCAATATGCTGATTTAGTAACATAACTTATGCTCAGGAAGGCCATGTGACGCTTCCAGACCCATCCATCTTAGTCAAGCATTTCTATTAAAGCTGTGCAAATCCTTTCCAGGACAGAAAGTGAGATTTTTACAAGTTTCCCATTAGAAAGAAATAGTGTGGAATTACAAACACACCACTTCATCTCTTCTCCCTTTCCCCGCCTCCCAGATTTGAATATACCTCTTTTCTCACATTTGACTCTCAAACAGGCCCTGACACAAGACTGTCTCTGTATTGCTAGCAGTCAAATAGACAGGAACACATATACATAGATATGTAGATACAATAGCAGTAGCCTAATGTCCGTAAAATGTGCATTTGCATATGCAGATAAAGAAGATCTATTTTTAAGCAGGTACTTTTTTGGATTAAAAGATGCACTTGAAAAGGTAAAAGGGCACCTCAATTACCAAACATCACGTAGTTAAAACCTAGAAGAGAGCCGAGTTCTTCACAGACTTAAATAGAATCAAAATAATGCACAAATATAGTCAAGTTTCTCTACATAAAACCAAAAACCAAACAAAAGAAAACCCAACAGATATCATTTGGTCATGTAGCTCATTTAATATATATGAAAACTAGTTGCCTTTAGGCCATTCATGTTTATGCTACCCACAGAAACAGCACATTGGAGACAGCAACTATTGTGTCAGTCAAATAGTGACTTTGAGATACAGACAAAACGATTGAACTTTTTATTCTGACAAAAGTCATGGTAAAAGTATATCAGAAAAAAGGCTACTCGTTTTCTGTGTTAAACAGGAGGTATTTTAGCTTTCTTACACGATGCTTAGAGTTCATGCTTCCTTTTACTGATAAGGTGCTGGCAGCTGAATCCCCTAATAATGCTAGAAAAATTTTCATATGTTATTTATTTCAAGGTGCATGGAAACCTTTAAATAATGAGCCAGCTTTCTCTGAACAGAGCAGAAATTAATGTAGTTAGTTGATGGTCATGGTGCAGTTCCCTATCTTCTAAACCAATACCACTTGTTTCCATATTTGCCCAGCTTTCATTCAGGATAATTCGGTATCATACTGTTTACCTGTACCTGGACATTTGCCTGACTATGGCTTTTAAAAACAGGTTTAAATTTATGCTGGAGAACGTCTGCTCCTTACCAAAGGATATAATTTTTCCTCTAAGTGCCCTTCCTACACCAAGTAGCCCAAGTACTCCTGAAGGCACCACATTCTTTACACCCCACATCCTGGCTGACACAGCTTGCACATCAGAAACTTTCGTGCTCACCAGGGAACCAGCATTTGAAGGATCACTAAACTTAGCCATTTTGTGTATCAATCTACACAGCAGCACTTTAATAATTTATTTTCAAGGTTAGAGTGTTCATTTTTGGCCTCATACTTGCTAAGTGGCATAGAGATGTGTGGTACATGATAATGCTATAATCTATTGCTTTCTAAAAGCCACCCAAAGTTCTGCACTGTAATTAAATAGTATTACTTGATGACATTGCATGCTCCAGATGTATCCTGAAACAGACTGACACAAATAAGCCATTTAAGGATGCAGAGCCAATCAGGAAATCTTGCTAAATGGAGAACTTGTGTATTAACTATTTTCTATCTTTTTAAATTATGGCTTTGTTTTAATGAAGCATTTTCTAACAATGAATCTGTGTACATGCATTTGGTCTGTCCCTGGTATTCTCAACAAGGTAAGTGATGTAGCCATATTCTGATCTGCAACATGGGACCAACCTGAGATTAATTTTTCACTATGAGGAAGAAAATAAGCCTGTTACTCCTACTCCTTCCTTGACTTTGGTTGCTGATCAGAAAAATCACATTGTTTTTATACTGGGGGAAAAGAAATCGAAACCAAAAACTTTGGAACCTACAAATCTTCCAAAATCTAACTGCCTTCTGCCTCAGGTGGTTCTTACAAACATTAGCAAGAAACTTTAGATAGTATGGAGGACATTATCTTTTGTCAGTGTTGTACCATTGAAAATGTCTCCTTTCTCTTTTGTTGTCCTTTAAATGCTACTCATTCCTCCTGAAATCACCTTTTTTTGGGAGGAGTCTCAAATGACCACTCCCCACCCTATTCCTCCAGGAATGCTAGCTGAGTGAGCTCAGTTTTTAATGCTGCACCTCTTACCTTTGCTGATGTGCTTCCAACTCCCTAGTGGCCAGTCTTCTGCCTGTGCTGCCTTCTTGGCTCTACCAGACTCCTCATGCTAAAAATCAGCTTGTTGACTGGAGCATTGTATGGTCTAATCCAGGTGTCCTTCCTGCCACACTGTCCTATCATTGTCCCACCAGTTCTGGGAGCTGCTTTTGCACGCCTCAAGGTACCTTGTCGTACCTTCAGGTATGAAAGCCAGTCTCATTTCTTTTGATTGCAGGAGAAAGGTAAATCTTGGGACATCTTTTTTTCTGAATTTCTGGCTAGTAAAGAGGTATTTGTATGGGTAGGACAGCCTCTGCCTCTGTGTGCAAGGGGCAGGCCCATTTACAAAGTATCAGCTAGATGTTTAGAGCTCTCTGAGACAGGCCTGCCTTTAAGTCTTGTGTCGAATACAATGCACATACATCATCATTACTTCATTACCAATTACTATTGATAACGAGCAAACAAAGTTCATTATATATTCAGTATTACACCTAATTCTCAGTGTAATATTGCTCTGGGTCTCTGTAGAAATGTAACCTGTATATTGGGAAACAGTGGGCCAAGTTTGACATTGTGAGTGTGTCCAACAACATAAATATTATTGTCGCACATTCATTTGCAGAAATCTAATATTTAGCTGTGTCTGATATATTTTAAAATGCTTTTCACACTGTTCACTTGATGATATATTTTGTAAGACAACTTGGCCAATGCTACGATTCTAGGAGTCCCATGTTCTGCAGCATAAAGAGGTACTAGCCGATTTATGCCTTCTGAAGCCAGTGCAAGTCTGTCTGTTGACTTTCATGGGGCTCTGGATTAGATCTTTAATGAACATCTCCCGATATCATTATAGGAGCAAATATTGGAACAGCATCATGAAAACTTCAGATTTAGTCGATACGAAGGATTTATTAAATTCTTTTTGAGCATAAAGTAGTTTGAAAATTGCTTCTTGAAAATTGCTTCTTCACCTGCTGCTCTGTTCATGCTTATCCCACAGTGACCTGAGCCACCCAAAAGAATATTCTGTTGGAAAGAAGCTGAGGCCAAAATCGGGACAAAGGAAGAAACCATGCAGTATAAAATCAAGAAACTGCTTTGAAAGAAATAAACAAGTTGCAAATTCAGAAATGAAATCTGAATGTGCCCAAAGAGATGGGGGGAGAACTTCGTGGATGTGAAGATCTCATAAGTGTGGTGTGTTGAGTTGCAGAGAACCTCATAGTTTTGAAATGTAAACACACCATATGTAAAACACAAACCACAGAATTAATGAATCATGTTAATTTCACACTGCCCCCGCTTTGGACTAATTAGTGCAAATTAAATGCCGCTCTTGTCAAGCAGAGCGGTTTGTGCACCATGTATTGCATTAAGAATTATCTTTGGATCCATTTGCACAATGTGAAAATAGTGTGAAAATATTTTTATTTCAATTAGTGGTAGTTTTACAGTCATTAAAAGATTTCTTTAATAGGCTTAGACTCCCATGGCCTGCACAGCTGCATGAGTTCTGGTTTGCATTTAAAGGTGGGAAAAGATGTAGGGGGAAGGAAGACATTTAGCTGACTGGATTTACTTAATTAGCCCCCACCCCATTCTAAAATGCCAAACCAGGCTGATCAATTATCTGTCCTTTCATCAGGGGCCAATTGCTTAATTGCAAATTATCCCTAATAATTACACAGTCAAATAACTACCGGATTTATTTTTAATGAATATGGGAGCCCTTAACAAGGATTTAAATGTACCCACCAGGATTACTCAAAATCGACAGCTATCAAAGGGCCAGAATCTGCCACTCTTGCTTACATGGAAGAGAACCTCATTCTGCTGTTTTCTGTTCAGTTTCAGTGAGACTCGGGGAAGTAGAGATGCTGCATTTCCGTGCTCAGTAGTGCTTTTAGGGTCTAACATTTCCTTTGTTTCAGTGAGATGGACTGAAAATGAGAGATTACTGAAAATGAGAACGGGTATCAGAATGTGGGATGCTGTGAAGGCAGGGCAGAATATAGGACAGAGTGTGGAAATACTGCCTTTGCTGAAATGAGATGGAGCTCTGCCAGGCAGCAATGAAAGCTATTGTCAAAACAGCAGCATGCTCATCCTCGGAGGCATTCTGGGTGCAGGGAGTGAGGCCTGCCACGGTGGGAGGCCTTTCGCCTCGGTGGGATGCAGTGCTCAGAACTGGCCAGCAGCACAGGGTTGTAATTAGTGCTGACAAAAACACAAGGCAAGGCTTCTGACGCTTGTTTTCCAGTTTTGATGGGGTATGAAAAAAAAAGGGGGAGGAGGGGAACTTGCCTTTTCCCCTTCCCTTCTCTCTGTTCCCCCTTCAATAGCTTTCTCTCTCAAACCACCTTAAGTCACTGGGTACTTGGGCCATGTTCCCTGCTGCTGACCAATCCTCAGCAGACTGTCAGCCTGGAAACAAGAGGCATACTTCTGTTAAAGTATGTTGCCTGCTCTTTGTAGGTCATGTGTAAGCAATTTCTTCTGCAGCTTTTTCTAGGAAGATAAGTAATTAACTTGGAGGAGAATGGAAAGCTGTGATCTCGCCTCACTTTGAAGGGCCTTTTCCTGAGATTTCTGTAGTGTGCCTCTTCCTCCTCGGAAACTTCGTACTCTGGATGCTCACATGGGGAGTTGATATTCTTGACATCCAAGCCCCAACTGGTACTTTTCTTGATTGTGAAGCATTCTATGGTATATTACACTCCTAAAGAGATTTTAACGCTGACACGGTGAGGCAAGAGGGAATATTGGACAGCTTTGTTCTGTGAGTTGTTAGTGGGTTGCTTTTTAATGCCTGAGCCCTGCCTACTTGTGCTGTGCTATCATGGGTGTCAAAGTTCGCTAATGTGATCACAGCCTGAAAGTTTCAGATTGTGCTTCGTGGCTCAGTGACTTGAGGACACAATCCTGAAGCGGCTGGGTCCATGGGTGGATCTTCTGGTGGTCACTACATGAAACAGTGACCCCATGAGTGGTGTAAATTCGTCATCTAAAATCAGGATTTATTTAGAATGTAGATGATCCCCAAGAGATAAATTCAGTAGTATTCATCATTTTAATGTATGACTTTGAATATCTTCTCTAGTCTATATGTGCTGTTGTCAGTCTGTTGGGTTTGTTCCTTACAGGGTTAATTTAGAATACGCTCTGGTTCATACACATGGAATAAGCACACTGATGTGGATTTCTAGCTACATCCCTTGTTCACAGAAAGGAAACCAAGACTTTGCACATTGAAAGCAGTTGCTGTTCTCTGTACCAGATGCCAGCAATGGAGTGGGGGTGAGGGGGAAGAATCATCCACCCATCCTTTTCAACTGAGCAGATCTTTTCTTTCTTATTATTCAAATGGACTTACTTTAGCATTCAATGTTTTTATTCTTAGTTTCTTATTACCTCCTTTTTAGTTTCTTTTCCCTTAAATATACATCCCAGTCTGTTTGCGCTCTTTAAGTTGTGGCAGTCTTCACTTTTATTTGCATTAAGAATACCTTTTTCCAGGAATTGCACACCTGAGGTAAATGCCCACGATGGTTATGGGTGCCAGAATCTGGTTCAATATTAATAAGAATATTCCAGCCCTGTTGTTCTTCTTCTACTTTTTAATCTGGAATTGGCACATGTTCCATCTTCCTCAACTCCCTTGTGATCTGTTCAGTGTGATCACTTTCTGAGAGCGACATCCGGTACAGGCACCTTACTTTGTTAATATCTCTCATTTCCATCCTTTGCCTGATGTGAATTTTTTGTGCGTCAGAAGGGATAGTGTAAAGCAGCACTTCTTCAGCCTGGTTTGAAGCGTTTCTTAGTAAGGCTTCTTTCTCTTCCCGTGGTCTTTGTCCTGTTGCAATAAACAACAGTTCCAAGGAATGTTGAATTAAAGTTTCTGCAAGGAATAGTTGCTCTTATGGATACTGTTAAGTGCACTGAGAAGTGTAATGGGTTACTGAGAAAGAAAATATACTAGTATATGGTCTTTTGGCCCGGGGGGTGGAGGAGGGCAGGTGCAGTACAGATGTGCATTTTATCCCGGTAATGCATCCTGGCTGGAGCACAGGGCGCTGCTGCACCTCTTGGGAGGCATGTTCCAACAGCACGGAGCCCGGGCGGCAGGTGGGAACGGGGCGTTGGGCTCTCGTGGTCTCCTAACGGGGGCCCGCGGCTCTGTCCTGGGCGGGAGTGTCTAGGGAGCGTCTCACCCCGCGGCCGTAACGCCGCGCGTCCTCGCCGGAGCCGAGCTGTCATCCCCAACAGGGGTGCGAGGGGCTGGAGCGCAGCCGAATGTGAGCTGCCGCGCTGCTGGAGGGAGACGAGTTACCGGAGCTCGGCCTTGGGCCCGGCCAACCTTCCTGCTCTCGGTGTCCGGGTCGTCGTTGCTGCGAGCGTCGCAGCGCCACCTGCGTCAGGCGCCTTTGCTTGTTGACATGGAGCCCGGGGGGGGAAGCTGGGCAAACGCGCTTTGGAACGCCAAGTACACGGTGTCGCTTGGGTTTTCCCTGCCGGCTCTGCTGACAGCACTTTCTGTTTTTCAAGGAGGTCAGCACTGTCCTCAATCCATTTCCCTAGCTATAGCTTCAACCACGTTTGCCTGTGCTAAACTAAGGCTTCTGGCTCTGCAAGCAGTCTTAGCCACAGATGCATATAAACCTACTTTGCAGCATATTTCTTTTTAAAAATATCATTAAAAATTTGGCAGAAAATAACATATTTGTTATCTGCTCAGCCATTTAACTCTTTGGATTCTTTTATATCGTTTAATCCAACCCATCCACTTTGTTACTTTAGTTGCTACCCTGTATTTTTGCTCCTCCTAATCGAAAAGTAAAGGGCAGTGCAGCAGCATTTTCTGCTGTGAATATACATTCAGAGAATCGCTTTGCAAAATAACTAATGGTTCACGCAAGGTAGAGAAGCTTTGCTTCTGCACCCCATTGCAATGTTAGTGCTGCTGGCCCTATAAAGGGGAACGGTCTGCCCAATGATTATTTAAAATGTATAAAACCAGATTGCAGGGAAGGAAGGAAATGACCCTGGGAAGCCTTGGAAAGACCTATAGACAAAAGCAAGAAAAGTCTGGAATGAACTATAAGGAAAGATAAAGCTTGAAAAAAACAATTAAAATGGGGAGAGCGCAGAATGGTTTCTCAAGTGCTGTGGAGGCCTCTTGTGTTTGAATACCTCATTAGGCAGCTGCATGGGAATTGAGCACCTAAATACCCTAAAATCTGGCCCCAGATAACTGAGATTTTAGGCTGTCTGGAAAGGGAAGTGGTCTTCTGTTTCAGGATATGAAAATACGGGATGAGCGGTTACTTTCCGCCCCATATATTTAAGACTTATCTCATCAATCATAAGCCTAAGAAATAATAGTGTATATTTAAATTCTGTATGTCCATGTGGTGGTTTATTCTCAGAATGAGAAGGAATGTAGAGGTTATACCTTATGAATTAAATATCTTGTAAATGGAGGTCATAGCCTGAAAAGTGTTTGGGTCTGAACATGTGTAGAGCTCTATGGGACGATCCCTGTGCTTGTTCAGGTGGGTGCATGTGTGTCCTGTGCTTGATCAAGGCACATCTTAGTTCAGCCTCGAGGAGCTCACAGGCTGGCACAAAAGCATTGATGCTCTTACCTGATGCAGATACTTCGAATTTCTGCTCCTTTGAAAAGACAAACCCGACCCTTTTCATTCAGTTCTAGGTATGAGAAATCTGGAGGTTTAGAAGAAAACTGCTTTTGGTGTACAATGCTGAACTGAACTGGGAAGCGGAGGGGAAGCATTTGAAAGGTACAACTTGGAGTTAATCCTGAAAAATTTCAGCATATTGTATGTAGCTAAAAATAGGAATTTAAAAGCTGCAGTGCCCTCTCAGCCATGCCACCAATGTTGCTACCATAACACTATAGTAATTTATTGTTGCAGAACATTCCCTTGTAGAACACTGTAAATATTTTAAGGAATTTCTATTACATATTGCAGGGGAACGTCTTTAAAAACATTCAGGTTTGCTAGTTTTAGCGACCTTAGAGGAATCCATATGCAGAAAAGCAGACAAAACTAGTGAGAAATGTACACTATTTCATTAAAATACCAGGTTTTGGCATGTTCTTTTTCATGATTTATTAAGGGAAAAAAAGCCCACATAGAATCCTTTAAGCATACATATAGTTTTTTTTTTTTTATTTCCCTTTTTTCTTCTGAGGTTTGTTCCAGTGGATTGTATTGTCACCAGAAAAAAAGGGGAAAAAAACCACCAACATAGGCTTGGGTTTGGGGTGGGGTTTTTTAATTCTTTCCATGTTAATAAGTTATGGACTGTTCTGGACTGTTTATGTGATCAAAATCTAAGTGCTCATTGTCCTGAGAAATGTTGACTTTGTTATGACAGAGAGAAGGAACAGATTTAGTCTCTTCATCTCTGCAATCAGTTGTTCTGATAGATGTTCCACTATGGTGGATGCAGGCAGGCAGGCGAGCTGCTTGGTGAGGAGTATGGCCACTGTTGGTGCCAGCCACAAATCACTGGCTCTTGAGTTTCATATGGAAACACACAGGTTATTTGCTACATGGGTGTATGCAACTAGAAGGTATAGTTTCCAGGCTGTTGCAACAACAGAGTTGTACTTTCGATGCAAAACAACCCTCCTCTTTGCACACTGCATGAATCTTTAAAGATTTCAAAGAGTATGATTAAGAAGGGGAGGAAGGTTTGGATGCTTCAGTAAAGTTGTTAAGGACCTTTTGTAGCTCGATTACAGGTGGCAGTCCTGTACCATCTGTCTCTGCAGTGCAGTGCAAAGTACTTCACAGCAAAGCAGTGCTATGTAAAGCGCACTTCAGCCTGGGAGGCAGTAAACAGAGCTTTTGTTCTCTAACTGGCTTTAGTGGGAGCCAGACTTTTCTTGATTTCTGTACAACTTTGGTTCCTA